GGGCTCCGGGCACCGAAACCGCCGTAACGGCCCGTGTCCCGGGGTTAAGAGCCGGAGGAGGCCTGCAGGGAGGGTGCTCCAGTCCGGGCCCGCAGGCTCCCGCAACCCTGCCTTAGTTTCCCAACCGGGAGGGGTGGAAACCACCCAAAAGACTTGAGGGAGACAAAGATAATACAGATCTTCCTCCATTTATGGTGGGTTTACGTCCTGATAAACCCATCTTGATTAACCCATTTTGCACACCTAACCTGCCCAACATCACAGCTTAGCCCAGCCTACCTTAAACCTGCTCAGAACACGTATCTTGACCTACAATTGGGCAGAATCATCAAACACGGAGCCTATTTTATGACAAAGTGTTGAATATCTCATGTAATTTGTATCGAATGCTATACTGAAAGTGAAAACCAGAATGGTTGTGTAGGTACAGCACGATTGTGAGTGCATTGGTTGCTTATCCTTGTGATCTCGGGGCTGTCTGGGAGCCAGGACTTCCTGCGTCTGCTCAGCATCCCTGTAGTGTCACGCGGCATATCGCTAGCCCAGAAAAAAATAAAAATTCCAGGTGGGTATCCTTTCACACCAAGGTAAAATCCAAAAACCGTAAGTGGAACCATGGGGAGTCGGGTCATCTGTATGTGGAAGCTAGTTTAAATTCTTGTGAAGATTTGGCGCAACTGTAAAAGGTTATTACACTTTGCTTCAACCCTCAGGTCCATGCGGGAATGGGGCTGCCTGATCAGTATAGGTAATTATTAGTGTTTTGTGTTAATATAGATAATTATTAGTGTTTCCTGTTCGTTGCTCCTGCTGTCCCTGAAAGAGCTAAAAGATTCAGCAGATAAGCCTAGCAATCCTGCCAGCCCAATGTTCTTTTCCACTTTAAAAAGCTGTATTTATTTTTAATTTCATGTATTTTTAATCCATATAAAAATTCAAGCAATGCAGATAAAATGGAGACCAATCCCTTCCCTTAAGGTAAATATTGTCTATTCAACCTCAACACGATAGCATTTGCAGCCTCTAGCAGAGGAATTCTCCTTTAAACTTGATGGAGACTAACCCAGTCTCTTCTGAGACCACACACTCTCGGTTGGATGGAAGCCACTGTTCTTCCAAGCACCCAGCAAAAGCTTTTGAGCTGCACTGGAAGATTTACAAAGAAGCATCACATTTAATTTCTACCAGTCAATGGAATCGAGCATCATTGTCCCCATTTTACAGATGATGCAATAGGATTAGAGAGGTTAAGCAGCCAGATTACCCAGTTACTAAGTCGTGGAATCAATATTCAAGCCAGAATCTGGCTGACTCCAAAGCAGGCTCTTCCCTGATGATCGTGCTATTCACAGATAAATAAAACACAGCTTGCGTATCTAAGAAGTTTATGGTCTACTTGGTGAGCTCTGGTTAGAGCAGCTCAACCAGCTGGCTGGGAACACTGGAGCTTCCTTGTGTGTTAAGTGAGCAGAACTAGGGTATCCTGTTTGATCGCTTACTCCAGGGAAACATATTAAAGAGTCATGGTTCCTCACTCACTGTATTTTTTATGCCAGGTTATCTGCAGTGTGATCTGAGTGAGCTCTGAGATGGAATTGCACAAGTTAGGAGAACATGACAGTGCTGGTCCACAGGCCAGAGCACAGGAGGGCCCATAAGGCCACCAACAGTGCAGGAGGCAGTCCCTAATTCAGGAAGTCAGTTCTAGAGATCCCAGAGGACAGGCAAGCAACAGGATTTGTCCCCTACATTAAAATGCTTCTGACAACTGCCCACAATCTCCTCCAAAGCTCTCCCATCTTCATTTTTCTTTTACTTCTGACTGTATGTCCTTAACACCTCTCCTTAGTATTTTGTAGATTTAAACTTTCTCCAAATTGGGAATAATGATCTTTTTTGTTGTTGTTTTTGGAGGGGGAGGTAATTAGGTTTACTGATTTACTTTTAGAGGAGGTACTGGGGATTGAACCCAGGACTTCATGCACACTAAGCATGTGCTCTACCACCTGAGCTATCTACCCTTCCCCCTTGGGACTAATGATCTTTTAAGGAAGAGAATGTGTCTGCAGCTTTATTAAAAGTTGATTTTATCAGTATTTAAAATAACCCAAGGCCCATCAAGCACTTCTTTTGCCTTGCCTTGCAGCAACAATGTACAAATTCTGTTCTCAAAAGCATGCTCCCTGAGTTCTGCAAACTGATGTACTAAAATGGACAAGAATGCCTTTTTGTTGATTTGTTTGTTTACTTCACAGACCATCTGATGCCTCTTGCCTGAAAATATGTTTCTCAGTCAGAATAAACCCAGTTGTACTGCAGTAAGTAATATACAACTTCAAAAATCCTAGTGACTTAGCATGACATTGTGTGGGTGCCTATAGGTGTTCTGTCCGCAGGGCGCAGGCTGGGGGAGCCAGTCATCCCTGGAGCTCTGTTTGCTTTTCATCGGCAGAAGGAAAAGAGGCCTCTAGACAGCCTTATACCAGCAATTAAAAGCTCAGTCCAGAAGTGATACATGTCACTTCTGCCTATTGGACAGAACTAGTCACGTTGACCACATACCTAAGGTCGGAAAACGGGTGGGGTGGGGTGATTGGGGTACATATGTAGTGCGGCTCCTACCTCCTGACTTGAAAGCCGTGTGCTGAAACCCTTTGATGAGCAGCATTAGTGACTACTTGAGTGTTTTTAATTCAGACTCCTTAGTCCTAAGTCAGTTGGCTCAGCCATCACGTCAACCCCTGTGACTCTGCTTCTCCAGCTGAGCCCACTAATCTGGTCTCACCTCTTTTTCCAGTGCTGATCTACATGTGATTTCTTGTGGGAGAGACTGGCTCTCTGCTCACCAGATCCATGGCCTCTTTTTCTCTGGACACACAGGTGAAAATATTTCCCAGCCTCCCTTGTGCATAGATAGTTGTGGCCGCAGAAGATACAGGCACCGTTTCCAGGCCTGCCCCTTAGAAACCTCCCATGGATGCTCTTCCTTCCTGTTCCTGACTGGATGCCAAAGCCCAGAGGATCCTGGGAGCCAGGATTGAAGACAGCACCCCCCCACCCCCCAATCCACCCCCATCCCCTTCCCCGCATCAACTTGGGTCCCTGAAGAACTGCACAGAGCAGAGCCCAGCATCCCCTACCCAGAAGCATCCACAGGGGTCTCTTGTAGGAGAGACATAAACATTTATTATAGTACCTGATGTGACCCCAACAAATACACTCCCACTTTACAAAGGAGATTAAGGAACTTGCCGAAGAGCTGCCTGTTTGTTTCAGAACTCCTTACTACATACTGAATGTCCTGATGAAGCAGCTCCAGGATTCTCCCGCAGTTCTAAACTGCAGTACCATACTGGGAAGGATGCTTGGTGGCCTGCTTCTCTTTGCAGTTTTCCCTTTCCTTGTCAATCCGAGCGCGGATGGACAGCCTGGTATCCAGATAGCGTAATGCTGTGACAGCTTTCAGTACTTAGTTGCTGATGGAAATCTATGATTGTGGTCCAGTTTCCCTGGTGACTGACTGCAGTCTTCTTTAGGCTGAGCACCAGCGTGCTTACACTGCAGGAGTTTGTAATGTTTGCCTCCCTTTTTTTTTTTTTTTGGCAAATGCGCCCTGGGAGTGCAAGCGTCAGCAACCACTGGATTATAATCAAAAGGTCTCATCAGAGGGTTAGCCTAGAGAGGGTGGGGGCATCTTTACAAGGGCTAAGAGAACAGGGAGATTAAATGTATGAAAGGAATTCTGGACGGTGAGCTCCAAGGGCTAGAGGGGATTACTGAAGCAGGCTTTGAAATAGTCTCTCTGTATGTATTTATTTAAAATAACAATAGTACAGCATGCTTGTGGCAATGCTTGTGAAGGATGCCAAGTAAAAACGTTGAAGTTCTGCTTACATGCAGTCTGTTTCTCCCAAGTAATTTATCATTGTTGATATCTGATGTGCATCCTAGAAGTCTTTAAGTATAACCCAGAGTTTGCAACTTTTTGAAGAGCTTGTCAATCTATGCAGCATCAACTACTTACAGCTAATGTTTCTCAAGCTTTTAGGCACTGGTCTAAGCACTTTTCCTGTGTTTTCTCATTTAATCCTCAAAACAATGCCTTGACTGTAATACTGTTACCCACTCCATTTTGCAGGCGAAGAGACTGACGTACAGAAGGATTGAATAATTGCCCCCGGCTACACACTCAAGCCAGCCTTGGAACCCAAACAGTTTGGTTCCAGTGTCCAGGCAGTAATGACTCATTCATGTCACCTTTCAGCTGGTATATGGCCAGGTACGGAGCGGGGTACCTTCTGTATAGTGGATCATTGGATAAACCCACTTCTTTCAGGTTTAGGGAATTGGAAACAACGGGTTTCAAATATTGACCCTACTGATCTCCTAACTTCCCTGGGCCTTAGTGATTTCAATTATAAAATACAGCTAGCAGGACAGATGTTGCTGGGTATCGTGGTATTAATGAGTCAATGACTCTAAAGGGTCGTATAAATGTCTAACGTTATCCCATTTATCTGAAAAATCAGCTTACTTTCATTTGTTCTCCATCTCAGTGGAAGAGTCACTGGAGGACAAACGGCCACTGAGATTGCTCTGCTACTTGTATTAGAGATAATTTAATTTCCTACATGTTAAAGGCTGTTAATCCTTGATTTTCACTTTTCCCAGCAGATACAATGGCTCCCTTTTGGCTTTCTAAACACTCTGTGAATCCCCATAATCCACTTTGCAATGATTACTCTAAAATGTTCCGCTTAACTCTTTCTCATTTTTTTGAGAGAAAATTATTTTGCGCTTACCACTGGTATCTCGGCAAGGTTTTTGTTAACGAACCGATCATTTTGTCCTTCTACCACTAAGAGGCGCTGTTTCATTGATTTTTGTGGGGAGGAGAAGGGAGGGTGTTCTAGCTGAAGTACCTTCTATGCTGGTATCTGAGCTGTTGAAACTCGGCCTTTCACATACTGTCATTAAAATGCAACAACCAAACCAGCAAATAACCTTAGTATTAAACAATACCTTTATCCAAGGAGCTCAAAGATCCAGATGCTCCAGAATTAATTAGAAACTAAGCTTCATTGATTAATACAGAAAAGAAGAAGAAAATCCTTTAAGTCTTGAAGCAGACTAGAAAAAAAATTCAGTTACGTGGGTAGCCATTTATAACTCAGATAGAGGAACATTACTATTTGTCATTTTAATTTTTTGGCATTAGTGTTATTTGATGAAATTAAGTTTTCATCCACAGTGTAGGATTATTATTACCAGTTGAAAACCACTCATAATATATAGATATTTTATTGGATAAACATATTACAAGGAGTTTTCCTGTTTATTTTACTGTTTTGTTACTGCATATGTTTGAATTTGGGGAAGTGGATTCCATTTTATGTCTTATAATGATAGGCTCTGATTTCTGAAAACTTAGAAAGTTTGTGAAAAAATGGAAAAGAGAATAAGGAGTACTTAGTAATAATCCTAACCTATGGGACATCTTCCAGGTTTTGGATGAATATAAACAAAGTATTAGATTTTATTTAAACTTTAACTTTCACTATTTAATAATCAAAAGGCATTATTAAACTACACAATTTTAAAATCTGGTTCTAAAGGAAGAAGAATGAGGGCCAAAAGTGAGAATTACCTTTAGACTTAACTTTCTTTACATTTTAGGCCAGAGCAAGTAGGCTATATCTGTTTGTGTCAGATTCTATTGCTGAATAACAAGTTACCACAAAGTCAGCAGCTTCAAACATTTATTATCTCATAATTTCTATGGTCAGAAGCCTGGGTGTGGCCAGATTAGGTCCCTGGCTCAGGGTCTTACAAGACTAGAATCAAAGTGTCAACTGGGCTGATTCCTTTCTGAAGCTTGCGGTCTTCTTTCAAGTTCACAGAGCTGTTGGCAGAATCTAGTTCCTTGCAGCTGTAGGACTGTGGCCCCGGTTCTCATGCTGGATGTTAGGCAGGACAGCTCTGAGCTCCTGGAGGCCACCCGCAGTTCCTTGTCACATGGCCCCTTCTAGGTCCTCTCACACTTAAACCTCTTTCACCAGGAGAAAGAACCCAGTTCCTTTAAGGGCCCGCTGAGGATAATCTTCAGTTTTCAGGTCAACTCATTTGGGAACTTAATTGCATTTGCAGAATTCCCTTCACAGCAGCATCTAGATTCGGGTTTGACTGAATAACCTGGGGAAGGTGTGTATAACCTGGGGAAGGTGTGTGTACGCAGGGGCACAGGGATCCTGGGGCCATCTTAGATTTCTGCCTACCTGTCTTAGTGTGTTCCGGCTGCTCTAACAAAATCCTGCAGGCTGGGTAGCGTGTAAGCAACAGAACCAAAAACAGAACTTTGTTTCTCACAGTTCTGGAGGCTGGAAGTCGGCGATCAGGATGGCAGCATGGTTGGTGAGCGCCCTCTTCTTGGGTGCAGACTTCTCGTTGAATCTGCGTATGGCAGAAGGGCCCAGGGAACTCTCCTGAGCCTCTTTTATGAGGCACTATATTCCATTCACGAGGGTCCTGTCTCATGATTTAAGCAATTCCCAAAGGCCCCACCTACTATTACCATCACCTTTGGGGTTTAGGATTGCAGCATAGGAATTTTGGGGGGACACAAACCTTCAGATCATAGCACTACCATAATGCTTTATAATAAACATTTGAACTCAATATGTTCTGTTTAAAAGCATGGTATGTATTAAGTATCTGAGAGCAGCATAAATGACTTTCCTTTTTTTTTTTAAATGACTTTCTTAAAAAAGAAATGAGAGAACCAAGCCAGTGAGCCAGTATTTTGAATAATAGAGAATGCTGCCTTGCTCAGTTCAAGCCAGGGAGGAGAACACTCCACCAATGCAAACCTACATTCTATTCATCTTAAGGGTCACCAGTTTACGCTGGGCCCCGAATTCGCTTACGAATCATTGCATAGAGTCCAGCCCCTTTTGCCAACACAGGATGCACTTGGAGAGGGCAGTGCACCTGCGGGGTCTGGTGGGTAAGAACCATCTCCTTTTGTGGTACTCCTTAGTCACTACAGAGGATTGATGCTGTATGCCCCAGATTAGGATCCTCTCTTAAAAACCCACTGTGCTGGTGGTAGGATGCCCCTGCATTTTTGAATATTTGAATTTTAAATTTAAAATGCCATCATCATTATAGACGTCCTTCACTGTGTGGCTGGCTGCCGTCATAAACTGGAGAGTGGGAGGCTGCCGGTATTTGCTGCCCGTCTTCCGTGTAGAATTGTGATGGGGGTCAGAGCCATGATTAAGGAACCTTTACTGATTGCAGTGTTTGGGTGGGGAAAAGCAGGAGGGCTTTCTTTCTTTCTTTTTTTTTTTCCTATTAAATCTGACATTTTAAGAGATATCATTAAAACGTATTCTTTTGCCCAGGAGAGAAAAGGCTTGGATCTTCGCTCTCTTTCATGGAAACCATAAGGCTCTTGTTATGTTTACCATTTTAGCCTTCAAGGCCTTGTCTTCTCTGACTTGGAGAACTGAAGGCATTTTGATCCTCTTCCAGTCCTACAAACAATGTTCTTTCAGCAGCTTGAGGCGTCACTGTTGATCAGAGAAAGCACTTCCTCCCCCCCAATGTGAACAGCACCTGCCAATCCCCCTATCCAGACACAAGAGAGAAGGGCTGTTCTGTGAGCTTACAGAGTACTGTTATCTCAAACATACGTTAAACCACAGAAAATAATCTGAAACCTACTGCCTCATTACTGGATGCAGAGCACAGTGGCATTTAGAGATTAAAAGCAAGGCCACGGACCCACATATCCACAAAACATATTTGTTTGTTTATGGCCAGTGTGATATTTTCCTGATATTGATGGCAGGGTGTTTCATTTCCACTGGCATTAAGTTCACCATCTTGGTGAAAATGGAAAAAGGATAAATGACTAAATCGGAATTAAAATGTATCATTAATCATATTGATTAATACAGAGCAGGCTCTAATAAACCACACTTCTCTTTCAAATTACTTATTTTAATCTTTCTTCAGTTTTAGAAGGGTAGGAAATATATATATATTTAAATATATATGATATGTACATACAATATATATAATACCTATTATATATATAATAGATATAAATGTAAAATCAGTTATGATTGGCTGAGTTATGCCGCAGTAACAAACAACCCTCATAACTCAGTGGTTTAAAAGCAGCAAAGGCTTATTTCTTTTTATTTTATTTTATTTTATTTTATTGAGTTATAGTCAGTTTACAATGTTGTATCAATTTCTGGTGTACAGCACAAATCTTCAGTCATACATACATTCATTTTCATATTCTTTCTCACTGTGAGCAATTGCAAGATATTGAATATATTTCTCTGTGCTATACGGTATAAATTTGTTTATC